AGTGGTTGTTTATAAACCAGTGAATTACAAAATGTCAAACTGTAAACAAATAGGAAAATAAATCCTTTAGTCAAATAAACACAAATTTAAATCTTTACAAATCACACGTCAGTATTTAAAACTCAAGGTTATGGAGGATTTCAGTCACAGACCTTATGATCCAACAGGAAGTATCCCTGAACACATTAGCATTTAGCATATCAATCTGAAATCATACTGTTCTTTGCTAGCATAGTGCTAATAAGCTTCTGATGGACAGAAAATAAAACTCTGAAACCTCAGATGATTAAAAACAGCATTTCTGAGTTATTCACAGTTTTCAGCATCATCAACCACCTTGGGCAACATATCAGACTGAGCTCTGCCGATTCGTTGGTGCATTTAGCAGACATCGAGAGATGGTTAGCTGCACGCGTTGCTGCTCCACCCACCTGCTTTCCATTGATAATTTCTGCTTTGATTTCTCACTAAAAGTTTTGTTTTGTTTAAATTAAAACTTTTGTAACATCTGTTATCATTGTTTAATTTTTTTTCATGTAAATGGACGAAGAGAAAGCAAGAAAAAAAATCAGCAGCAGATTTCAGGGATCAGTTAGACTAATGTTAAAGTAATCAGAATTAAGCCCTAAAAAAGCAGGAATGTTCCTTCCGATTTTGATCGAACCACTTCTGGTTTTGCATTTAACAAAGTATGATGCCCCCTAGTGGAGCGGAAGGCAGGGAACTAAAATATAGAATGGTTTAGAATTTTAGAATGGCCTATTCAAAGCCTTTATCTAAAAACCACTTTCTGGCAAAAATGTCCAAGTTGATGTTCACTTTTCTTTTAGAAAAGCGAAAATTGTTTATTTCCTTGGGTTTTACTATAATCCCAATAGAACAAACGGTGGTTTCGTTAGAAGGTCTAAAGACACTCAGGGGTGTGAAAACTTCAGCAATTCTCTGAGTAAGACTGCTTTTGTGTCTCTGCAGATCTCCTTGCACTACAACATCCCTCCCCCTGACGACTTCTCTGCCTTCAGCATCACTAAGAAAGTGGATGCCTACTGTGATCTCAAGCGGCCGAAGCTCCAACTCTCTGTCAGCGTCAGGTACTGCCGCTGCTGATGGGGGTGGGGGTTAACTTCAGCAGGATTATCTGTCTCTGTTTGAAACCGAAAAGCAGCGAGCTTGGAATTGCTTTATGTCTCTTCCTGCAGGTACCAGGGCAGGAGAGCGGAAACCAACATGGTCGTCCTCAACATTAAGCTGCTGTCTGGGTATGTTGTGGAGCAGAGCTCCCTCAGTTCAGCGAAGCGTGTGGACATAGACAACGGATTTATCGACATCTACCTGGATGGGGTAGGTGTCCCTGAGGTTGTGTGACTCCACCTTCCTGTAGCTGCTCAGAAAATAATTGTCTGAATGTTGTTTGTAATCGCAGCTGAAAAGGGATGAAATACAGACGTTCAAGGTGGTTCTGGAGGAAGATCAGCGGGTCGGGAACCTGAAACCAGCTGTGATTAAAGTCTATGACTACTACCAGCCCAGTAAGACCTCAGCGATAAGCAGTCAGCACGTCAATCGTTTCATTGTTCTCGTTACCCACTGATGTTTCTCTCTTGTTTCAGCTGACCAGGCTGCCACTGACTACACATCCCCCTGTGCTTAAAGTAAGAGTTCCTCAGCGTTTTTGCTCTTTCTGTGCAAAGATCTGAGGAGAATCATTTCCATATGAAAGAAAAACACAGTAGACTGTCTGATTCTTAAAGATCAGCGCTGTTTGTGACCTTGTTAGCATTCTGTTAGCTCTTAGTTTCCTGAAAGCTGCTCCTAAATAGGGTCCGTTTCTCTATATGAACATAAGACCAAGAACAGACAGTCCCTGGATGTTGCTCTCGCCCCTCCATCTTTACCCAGCATGCATCAGAGCAGACTTGTCCATTCTTGAGACTGACAGCTGTCCCAGCATGCACTGCTTTATTGATTGAGGGATTCACTTTATTGATCTCACAGTGGAGAAATGTACTCGTTATATCATCTCAAAATATCAAAAAAAAGAATGTGTCAAAGGAAGTAAAAGGTGCACAGTGCATCCAGTGGATCATTATTCCGGGTTTGTTGCACAGGGTGTTTGCATTTATATTTATTTATATAGTTATTGCACAGGGAATAAAATAGTACTTGCACATTATACATTGCATAATTTATTGCCGTTGTAGTGACTCATTGTAGTCTGATGGCAGCAGGGATGAATGACCTGCGGTAGCGCTCCTTTTTACAAACACGATGTAAAAGTATTTCACTAAAAATTAAAAGTTCTCTTTTCTGTTGTTGCTGTTCTATAAAAGTATATTTTAAGATCATTTGAGGCGAGAACATTGTACTTTTAAGCTCCCATTTACTGATTTAGCGCATCATTTAAAAAAAAAAGGTGTTGAGAGGACCGCAGCGACCAGCGACGCTCTTAGGCTAACAGCAGCCAGGGCGACCGTTAGCCCGTCAGCAGCAGCCAGGGATAACGTTAGCCCATCTGCAGCATTCGGGGTCAATGTTAGCCCGTCAGCAGCAGCCAGGGCGACCGTTAGCCCGTCAGCAGCAGCCAGGGATAACGTTAGCCCATCTGCAGCATTAGGGGATAATGTTAGCCCGTCTGCAGCAGCCAGGGCGACCGTTAGCCCGTCTGCAGCAGCCAGGGTGACCGTTAGCCCGTCAGCAGCAGCCAGGGATAACGTTAGCCCATCTGCAGCATTAGGGGAT